TCCAGCCCCATGATTTTTAATTTTTTGACGTCTCAAACAGTGTTCTGGATGTCTGGGGTCTACTCTCAGAGGTACTCAGCCTCACTGTGGCCCTGACAGTTCAATGCTTGAGCATGGAAGTGGATGCTGCTTGGATCCATTGGTGCTGGGGGCCACCAGGACTAAACTTAGAACTGGGTCCAAGTGCCGTGGGGGATTGAACTTGGGACCTGCAGTGCGCGATCCAGCCCTTAGAGCTATCTTCCATGCCTCTACCCCAATTTCTCTTAAAAGAACTACTGAAAAATGACTTAAAATACTTGGTGCCTGAATACCTATGCCATGTGGGTACTTTTTATTTATTTATTCACTTATTTATTTGCTTTTTGGGTCACACCCAGTGATGCTCAGTGGTTACTCCTGACTCTGCACGCAGGAATTACTCCTGGCGATGCTTGGGGGACCATATGGGATGCTGGGAATCGAACCCAGGTCAGTTGCATGCAAGGCAAATGCCCTACCCACTGAGCTATTACTCCAGCCCCCAATGTGGGTACTTTTTAATCTGAACTTTTTCTATTGCATTTTTCATCCACTAGATGTCAGTAAGAACTAGACAGTTACGACTTCCTGCCCTAGCTCCCTGGTTTGTCTAGAATGATTAAAGTTAAGTGTCATTAGTTTTCTGAATGTTGATGGGCTTTTCGATTGTTTTTGGTGCGCAAATTATACTCCTGAATAAGTGCTCCAGTGTATTCTTCATCATACTCCCAGATAACTGGCACACTGGTCTTCTAGTATCTTTATGTTCACTTCCTGCCCAACTTCTTCCCCTGAATCTATTCCAGTTTTTTATAAATATAAGGAATTTCTTTTAGTTAGGTTTGCTTTTTGTGTGTGTGTGTGTTAGGTTCTAGTTTATAGCTTGGTTGTATAGTTTTTAACCCTTTAAAAGTCTAACACATTTAAAGGTCAATATATTATCATTTTTTATTAGCAGTATTATGTTTTGGGGACTTACCCAATGGTGCGCAGGCTTACTACTGGCTCTGTGCTCTGAGATCAGAGCAGGCTTGGCGGGCCATATGTGGTGACAGAGATTGAACCCATCATTTTCAAATAAACTATGTTGTACTGGAATAGCATTACACTTTTGGTAGATTTTTTTTCTACTTAATTTTTCCTTACAAAAAAAATTTAAATGTTCATTTTGTTTTGTTAACTGTATCCTGGGCTACTCCTGGATTGCTCTTGATTCTGTGCTCGGGGATTGATCAGGGGACTCTATAGTACTGGGGGTTGAGCCTGGACTTCCTGCGTGCAAGGCCAGTGCCTTTCCATTGAGCCACATCCTAGCCTTTGGATAGACGTTTTAGGGTGTAGGGATAGGGTCGGGGTTGATTCATACTTGGCTGTGCTTAGCTCTTACTCTTGGTTTCTCCTCAGGCATCACTCCAGGAAGTGCTCAGGGAACCTTATGTGGTGCCAGGGATCAAACCTGGATCTGCCATATGCTAGGCAAGTGACTTACCCACTGTACTATCTCTTTGGGCCTTGTATAGATTTTTTGGATTAATACCTATTAAAATAAGCATTAGGAGCTGGAGATATAGCTCAAGTAGTGAAGTCTATGCCTTGAATGTGTGAGGCCTTGAACCTGCCCACCACACCAATACAAATGGGTATAGCTAGCTACACCCAATCGTAGTAAAAATGGGCACTGGGCCTTGAATTTGGTCGAGTTGGTAAAAACTCTGTAAATGTTAGGTCTCATTTATATTATTTTCCCTAGAGTTTCTCTCAGGGCTGGAGCGGATAGGGCATTTGCCTTGCACGCAGCTGACCTGGGTTCAATTCCTCCGTCCCTCTCGGAGAGCCCTGCAGGCTACCGAGAGTATACCACCTGCACAGCAGAGCCTGCCCATGGTGTATTTGAAATGCCAAAAACAGTAGCAACAAGTCTCACAATGGAGATGTTACCGGGGCCCGCTGGAGCAAATCAATGAACAACAGGATGACAGTGCTACTTTAAAAAAAGTACATGAGGGGGCTGGAGCAATAGCACAGCGGGTAGGGCATTTGCCTTGCACGTGGCCGACCCAGCATCCCATATGTTCTCCTGAGCACCGCCAGGAGTAATTCCTGAGTGCATGATCCAGGAGTAGCCCCTATGTATCACCAGGTATGACCCAAAAAACAAAAAAAGTACATGAATAAATTACAAGGAACTGAAGAAAATAAACAATGAATGATGAATAGTGTCAGAGTAGATCTTCATCAAATTTTATCTTGCATGAAGATTTGGATTTGAAGATTTAAAATGTCAAAATTTGTTTATGTAGTAATTTATCAGTCAAAACTCTCTTTGTTTGTGGTTACAATGGCGAGGTTTTTAAATATAATTATACATATTGCATTTCTTTTTGTTTTGTTGTTTTTAGACCACAACCAGCTTTGCTCGGGGCTGACATGTGACTCTGCCAGCCCTGTTGATTCTTGAGCACCACCTGGGGTGCTGGAGAGTAACCCTGGACAGACCACGAACCTGCCAGGGCCTTCCCTGCTGTACTGTCTGTGCTCCTTGAATGATTGTTTCTTTCAGGGAATCTTTAGGTCTTGTATTGCACTAAGAGAAATGCATTTACATGCCTAATGTTTTATGGATGATTTATAACATCCTCTTATTTGTAAATTTTTTTCTTTTTTGCTTTTTGGGTCACACTGGGCAATGCACAGGGGTTACTCCTGGCTCATGCATTCAGGAATTACTCCTGGCGATGCTCAGGGGACCATATGGGATGCTGGGAATCGAACCTGGGTCATCTACATGCAAGGCAACCGCCCTACCCGCTGTGCTATCGTTCCAGCCCCTTATTTGTAAATTTTTAATATTAACTGTGGTCCTTGTATTAGTTTTCCATGATACTTACCTCAAACTTAATTGTCTAAAATGACAAGTTTATTCTTCCAACAGTTTTTTGGTGGCCAGAGGTCCAAAAACAGTTCACTGAAACAAAACCAGGATCCTAGCAGTGGTGATCTTCACAGACTCTGGAACTGGATTGTTCCTTGATTGTACTACTTTCATGTTTTACTTGTGTTCCTTTACTTGAGGCTGCATTGTGGTGTTCTGGATATTGAATCTCCCTTTGCCTGCCTCTCTCTTTCTCTTTCCCTCCTACTCCTTTCTCTCCTCTCTCTCCCTCTCTCCCTCTCTCTCTCCTTTTTTGGGGTCACACCCGGCAATGCTCAGGAGTTACTCCGGACTCTGAACTCAGGAATTACTCCTGGCAGTGCACAGGGGACCCTATGGGATGCTGGGGATTGAAGGGGGTCGGCCACATTCAAAGAAAATACCCTGCCCACTGCAATCTTTTTATTTTATTATTGATTTTTTTGTGGGTCACACCCAGCAATGCTGAGGCATTACTCCTGGCTCTGCACTCAGGAATTACTCCTTGCAGTGCTTGGGAGATCACATGGGATGCCAGGGATTGAACCTGGGTCAGCCACATGCAAGGCAAGCACCCTACCCGCTTTATTATCGCTCCAGCCCCTCTCCCCCGCCCACTGCACTATCTCTCTGGCCCTCCATTTACCTCTCTTACAGGAACACTAGTGATTACTCCTTGCAGTGCTTGGGAGATCACATGGGATGCCAGGGATTGAACCTGGGTCAGCCACATGCAAGGCAAGCACCCTACCCGCTTTATTATCGCTCCAGCCCCTCTCCCCCGCCCACTGCACTATCTCTCTGGCCCTCCATTTACCTCTCTTACAGGAACACTAGTGATGGTATGTGGCGCCCATCTCGATAATCCAAGATTTCTCTTTGTCTCAAGATCCTTAGCTTAATTGTCCTTGTAAAAGACCTCTTTACAAATCAGGTGGCATTTATAGGTTTCTGTGATTAGAACCTGATATCTTTTGGTGACTGTTACATTTTGGTCCCCAGAGGAGGTAGTTTGAAACAGAACTTTTAGTTGAAGGCTGATAGTAATGTCAGAGAAACAAAATAAGTCTAATGAACATCTCAACTTGAAGTGTCCTATATAAGACCAGATGAAATATACTATTTTTCCCCCCCAGTTTTTTTTTTGTTTGTTTTGTTTTTGGTTACACCCAGTTGTACTTAAGGCTTAATCCTGGCTCTGTGTTCAGGAATCACACGTGGAGGGACTTAGGGTACTTTATGGGTACAGGATTGAATTGGGTTGGCCACATACAAGGCAAGCACCTTACTCTCTGCACTATTGCTCCAGCTTCCTGAAGCATTATTGAAGGGGCTAAGAATAATCCTTTTCACTGATAGAAATTTGGGCTTGATGGAAAATGAATAGTATGTATTCTTACTCTAAATCTGTACAAAAGACCTTTTGAATCTTGTTATATAGTACAGAGTAGTAATGTCTGCCATATTTAGCAGTGAATTAAAGCAGGTGTTTTTGTGGTTTTGTGTTTTTTCGTAAAACCTCTGCCCCATGTATATCCCTTTTTTTCATTGAGATAAACTGAATTTCAACCCATTAGCTACTCAGCAACTAAAGAAATTTGTTTGTTTGTTTTGGGGTCATACCAGGATGCTCAGTGCTTTCTCCTGGCTCTGCACTCAGGAATCATTCCTGGTGGGGCTGAGGCGACCAAATGGGGTGCTCGGAATCAAACCCAGATTAACCGTGGGTAAGGCAAATGCCCTGTCCACTATGTTATCTCTCTGACCCTGCACAATAATTTCTAAGTGTATTAGTTGAAATTTTCATGTTCTAATATTTTTGTTTATATGTGAACTTAAAACATGCATTATTATCAAGCAATCCTTAAGTTATGAGACGCAATCTCTTAGAATAATGAAAATCATGCAAAAATTCTATCAGCAGATCAAATCTCCTTTGCAAGTAATCCTCCTGTCTTAGGTCTGGCAGTTTTTAATAATAGGGGCCTATTTTCCTGTTGGAGCACTTAGTGAATGTGGCATTAAGACCTTAACCTGTTTTGTTTGCTTTCTTTCTCTTCCCTGGCAGCTCTGTCAGACCATGAAGAAGGCACGTCACCAGCTGGCGTCCTTGAAAACCGTGAGTCACAAGGACGCACCTCTGCTCCCTGGGGGCCTGAGAACAAGCTCTCCCACCAGAGAGGTGAAAAAAAACTTCTCGTTTCTTTGAAAATAGTATAATTTCTATAGGAATACAGGGGGATGTTTTTCACATCTCAACATTATTTAGAACTATATAAAAATCTTAAGTATTCGTAGTAAGTAATAACTAAAAAAAAATGATGATAGCCCCATATATATCACAGAGTATTTGAAAACAAAGAATAGTGTTAGCAATACAAAGTTAAGTAGAAAAAAAAAGGGCACAAAATTACACACAGAATTATTTCAACTGGAAAAAAGAGTTTATCTGGTATGCGAGGTCCTGGATTTGATCCCTGGCATTCCCACCCCCCGGCCCCTACCAAAGAAATAATCCATTCCACAGTCACTAGCCATTTTTCTAAACATAGGATTTTAGTGGTAAAAGATCCTCAAGGAGCTTCTGTGCACTGAGAGAAGCATATGAGAAGCCAACAAATAAAGATTATAATTGAAAATGAGAAGATGATAAGTCCAATTTAAAAAATAATGAAGACCTAGAACACTTCCAGGAAGACAGCCCAAAAAGATGGGACAGGTCTTACATAGGTGGGACTCCAAGTCTGGTCCTTGTAACCTTATCCTTTCTCATTCCATAGCACCACAGGGCATTGCCAGGCCCAGGCACTGACCAGCACACCTGGGGCCCTGCCAGGCTCCCCGCCACCTCCCCCCCCCCCCCCCATTCCTGGGAAGACTTCTAAAGAAGAAAAGTGAAAGATATGGGGAGGCAAGTCTGGAGAGAGATGAACCAAGAGGCTAATGCTGATTGTTTGGGGTTCAGGCATGATTACAGATGATTTTTATTTCTTTCTCTTTGTTTTCTTTAAAAAGCCTTTGTTTTTATTTTTGTTTGGGGGCCATATCCATGATCAGGGGTTATGCATTGCTCTGCACTCAGGAATTACTCCTGGTGGTACTTGGGGGACCATATGAAATGCGGGGGATCGAACCCAGGTGGGCCTCATGAAAGACACGCACCCTACCTGCTGTACTATCTCTCTGGCCCCTGAAAAGTTTTTCATGATGTATATCTTTTACTTTTGCCAGTGCCATTAATTTTTTTAAAGAATTAAATTTTTCTGACTCAAATATAATATTGGTTTAACAGAATGTAAATGTAGAGCTCATCACAAAATGATAGGCAAGACCATATATGTAAAATAACGTGTTTTGATACTTTTCTAATAACAGGTTTTATGCATATGGGTGTTAAACCCATGTATTGCCCTGTATTTACTTAATCTTGGCATTTGGTGTGCAGCTTCTGGAAAATGGACTGTTAGATCTTTTTACTTTACCTTTTCTTTTGCTGTCATCAACTCTGTCTCTTACTCAGCTCTTTTCCAGAGTCACTTTTTTTTAATAGGGACAAATCCTGGTGACACTTATCCTGGTGAAGCTTAGGGGCCACCACAATATAAGTGGCAGTGCTGGAGAAGGGACAAGCAGGATCTGGACCCAACTCAGCTCACATGTGCCAACACCTGCTCTGTCACCTGCGTTACCTCCCTGCTCCCCTAAGTCACTTTTTGATTGGTATTTTATTTTACATTTTGCTCTATCCTACGCAAATATAGGTTCTAATTTTGTATTTTTCCCGAAGCTGCTCATCATATCTATCAAAACCCTCTTGACTTGTTTGCAATTGGTAGGACCGTAAATGCTGCGTCTCCCTGGTCTCCAGTGATAATTGAGACATTTTCAGTGAAATATAAAAAGAAATGGCCCTGGGCATGCATCCCATTTGGTGTGCTGTCCTAGATGCATGCATTGTGCTCACCTTTTCCCAGCCTTGACAGCATTGTAGGGACAGTCAAGGTCAGAGTTCCTTTAATACCCGAGTCCTTCTCAATGCTTGGCTTCTTTATAATTTGTATTCCTACCATGAGTTTGCCTGTCTTTTAGTTTGGGCCAATGAATGAGGTGATTTGACCTCACCTAATGAAGCAGGGGGGAAATGGTTGGTTATCAGGTCCAAGAGACATATTTTCTATTGTGAGAGCATGCTCAAAACTTACAGTGAATGTTTTGAGTGCGAGTCACAAATCTGACTGAAATAATTATCCTGCAGAGGGGAGGAGGATTAAGACTGAGATAACATCCTCGTATAAACCAGTTTTATACGTCAAAGGTGCCATTTAAGTGTAATTCATTATTATGAAATGATGATGAATTCAGGCTGACTGGTTGCTTGCAAAGAATGCATGTGTGATTTTCAGGTGAAACATCACGCTATACAATTAAAAATAATCTAAGGAATTAGTGAACTTTTAAAATCACATCAAGTATGTATGCTTTCTCTCAGGTCCTAGGAGTTATAAATGGAAATCTGCTCACTAGTGAGAGGGTTAAACAATCTATTCCCAGCTGGACTTGGGTTTCATTTCCGTGTTAGATATAGCTTAGTAGACATTAGACTTTCCTTGTTAGACATTAGAATCTGACTGTGGTTGTTTTTGTTCCAGATTTGGAGCTACAAGAAGAAGATAGATTTGCTTGTGTGCTGATAGGGCCGGGGCAAAATCAGAAACCTTCTGAAAATTATTGTTGGTTAGAATAGGGTCATGTGTGTCATTTATAAAATTAATATACCCAGGACCAGAGAGATAGCTCAGTGGATTGGGCATGTGTCTTGTATGTGTAGAACCTCGGTTCAGTTCCCAGCATCACATATTGCCCTGAATACTGTCAGGAGTGATACCCATGTACAGAGCTGGGAGCCCCTGAGCACCACTGAGTGTGGCCCCTGGAGAAGGAAAATATATGAAGTCTCCACCAGCGTGTTTCACTCCATATGTTGTTGTCTGAGTGATTTATTTATACATTTGGAACAGAAATAACTTGTTTTCTTTGATTCTATATTAGACTATCATAACCTGTTAAGATCACACCAAACCAATTTAGTTTAAGGGCTTTTGCATTTTCTGAACCATTTTTATTTGTACTGAATTTTTTTCCCCCATAAGGCATTTGGGGCTGGAGCGACAGCACAGCGGGTAGGGCGTTTGCCTTGCACACAGCCAACATGGCCGACCCGAGTTCGAATCCTCCACCCCTCTCAGAGAGCCCAGCAAGCTACCCAGAATATCTCGCCCGCAGGGCAAAGCCTGGCAAGCTACCCGTGATGTACTCGATATGCCAAACACAGTAACAACAAAGTCTCACAATGGAGACCTTATTGGGCCCGCTCAAGAAAATCGATGAACAACGGGAGGACAGTGACAGTGACAAGGCATTTAGGAAAGTCTGTGAAGGTCTTTTCTGTTTACATTTTGGGCCACTCTTGAAGAGTGGTTGAGGGAGGCCCTGTGGTGCTCAGGCTGGAACCTGGGTCTCTGCACACAAACATAGGCTCCAGCCCTAGGAGCTGTCTCCCTGACCTGTTATCAAAACTTTTTGACTATTTCACGTAGCCAGAACTTTATGGAAAATCTGGAAGAAAATGTGGTGAGTAAAAAGAAGAGTAATGCCTGTTAGAATTATCCACAGCTAATGAAAGAACGATGGGTTTAAGGATTAAGTTGTAGTGTCCACTGTTGTTTTTTAAAGTAGTTAAAATGTATTTTGTGTGCTGAGAGTTTTTTTTTTCCAGTTTCATTGGGATGTGACTCATATGCCTCACAGCTCACCCATTTAAAAGTCTGCAGTGCATTCATTGGCTTTGGTGCACACAGCACTGGTCACTGTCACCACAGTCTAATCTTCTTCATCCCTAGAAGAAACTTGTCACTCCTGGTCCCTTTCATATTAGCTGTCACACCCTAGTCTCTTTGTCTCCACCCACTAGTACTGAACAAACACTAATGTAGTTTTAGTCTCTGTCAACTTGCTTATTCTGGATTTTTCACTGAAATTGAATCAAAGAGTGTGGAGCCTTGTGTGACTTTCACTTTGCTCAATGTTTTTTTACTTCACTTGCATGCGTGCATGTGTTTTAGACTTCATCCTTTTTGTTGTTTAATGCCTTGATCGATCACATAAGGTATGTCCATGTTCTTGTTGTTGGACACTGGATTTGATGAATAATTCATCTGTTTTTCCCCCACAATTTGATATGAACATTTCCCAAGTAGTGGAATTTCTGGGTTATATGATAATTCTGTGCTTACTATTTTGAGGAACTGCTGAGCTGTTTTCCATCAGCAGTGTCTGAGGGTTTTGCATCCTCCCCCAAACTGATGTTCGTCCTTCCCATAATAGCCATGCTCAGTGAGTGTGAGGTGGTCACTCATTGTACTTTTGTCTTGTGCTTCCCTGATGACCAATGATCCTGAGTCTCTACGTGTTTATTGCTCACTTAGGTGTCTCTTGTACAGAGAATGTCTATTCAAATGCAGGGCCTGTTTTTAAGATGGGGTTATTTGGCTTATTTGGCTTTTTAATTTCATTTGTAAAAACTCTTTTATATCTGAATACAAGTCCCTTATCAGATACTTGATTTTCAGATATTTTTTCCTGTTCTATGGCTTGTCATTTGACTTTCTGTTTTTCATTTTGCAGAGCCAGGAGTGATCCCTGAGTATGGAGAGGGGTTTTGAGTTACACTCTGCTCAGGGATCACTCCTGACTGTGGTTCAAACCATTTAGGGTGTCAAGGATTGAACCGGGGGTGGGGGTGGGGTTGTCCATGTGCAAGGAAATATGTGCCTTAACCCTGTACTCTTCAGCCCCAACATGCCCCATCATTTTACTTAATGTTCTTATACTGTTGCTGTGGGGCCACTCCTGACAGTGCTGAGGGCCACAGGGCCACGGGTGGTGTACCTAGTGATATGGAGATGTGCACATATGCAGTGCTGGGGATTGAATTCAGGTCCTCATACCTGTAAGATATGTATCTGCTTGAACTGCACCCCAGCCTGAAGCACACAGATTTTAATTCTTGGTATATTCATCTTTTATTGTTTGTTTGTTTTGAGGGGCAAAATAAGCTTTCTTAGCACTCAACAGGCCAATGGGTAGTTGACAAATCAGTGATTAGATGTTGGGCAGGCTGCAGGGGGCATGTGGGCAGGCTAGCCGGAAGAGAGCAGGATCTGGCATCCCCTCTTCTGGGGCCTCAGTCTCTGGCTCAGAATTTGATGTCCACCACATGGAAGCTGGCCTACTGCATCAGGCATCCAGGCAGACCCAAGACTGGCCTTCTGTTACATGATCTCTGTGAGTGCAGAAGTAAGTGCTGTCAGGAAGTTTATGCATTCATTTCCAGACTGAGGAAATGTGCGTGTTCCTGGCCACCTCTATGGAGATCTCATCCTGACCTTCAGACTGGTTTTGGGACCTCACCTGTCAATGCTCAGGGATCACTCCTGGCTCTGCATTCTAGGATCACTCCTGTGGAGCTCAGGAGACCTTAGGGGTGCTTGGGGATCAAACCTGGGTTGGCCGCATTCAAGGCAAACACCCTCCCTGCTGTACTGTTGTTCTGGCCCCTGTAGACTGCAGCAGCTTATTAAGGAGTTAGCCCCATCCACATCTAGTTCAGCACCTGGCCCCAATGGGCCTTAGTCGGCTCTGCATGCAGTGGCTATGTGTTCTGAATTCCTCATTGGACAGGATGCCTAGCTGCTCTTCAGGGGTGTTCCCACCATATGCAAGATGAAATGCAGCTGTTGTTCCCCTGTGGGCAGAGGGGCCAGCCTGGAGCCTACTGTCGGCCTGAATGTGTTTGGTAGCTCCAAATGTCATTGACAGCTGTTGGTTGATTGTCCTCATCTGATCTCTGGCCACCTGGTGGTGTTCATACTAACAACTGTTCATAGTCTATGTGCTTTTGTAAAACTGAAGTCTCTTTTCTAGGAGAGTTGACCTGGAGAATCACTGACCTTGGACACCTTAGATAGGACAGGTTGTGACCCAGCCTGCTGACCCCGCTCCACCACCACGAACTCATTCCCACTGTTTTTATTTTGTTTTGTTTTTTGCCTGTGCTTTTGGCGTATCATTGAAAAGCCTGTTTATCTTTTCTTGTGGTGCAGCATCAAATGAACCACTTGTTAAGGTCATGAATAATTCCTTTTATGTGTTCTTTTAAAAATTTTATAGTTTTAGCTCTTACATTTAGGTCTGTGATTCATTTTGAGTTATTTTTTAACATTTTTAGAGGAAGCATTCTAACTGAAATCTTTTTTTTATTCTAAAACCATGTTGGGAAGATGAGTTTTGTGCCACTAAATTGCCTCAGCTGAAAATTAGTTGACTGCAGCATAAACATTGTTATCATTATTTTTATTATCTGATATCCATGAGCACGGGATAGCTGTTTATTTTATAATTTATTTTCTTTCTATAAAGTTTCAGAACTTTCAGTCAAATACTTCTTGTAATGTCCTCTTTTATGATCTTTGACTATATCAACCTACTAAAATATAATACTGTTGTTCTGAAGCCTAGATTATTATTGCAATCATATTGTTTCTATCTATATTAGATACATTTGTTTTTTCTTCTTTTTGTTTGTTTGTTCTTTAGGAAACTAACTCTAAAGAATTTTCATCTGTTTTCATCGACATCGATGAGAAAGGCAAAGAGAATTTGATTGGGGGGGACCAGCAGGGCCTCCTTTCTGAGGAGGGGAACATCCCTGTGGTCAGAGTGCAGGTACAGTGAAGGGAAAGGGGGGTAGTATAACTGACATTAAACTAATTGCAATTTGGACTAGAGAGGCTTGATCGTTCATTTACTCATTTAGGATAGCAGGTTAGTGTCCTGTTTAGGAAAGACTGATTATACATTTTACCCTAGTAATTTGTTTGGCCTGCCATTTTTTGGTGGGGGTGCTGCTAAGCAGTGCTGGGTGACCTGGAGGCCACTTCCGAAAACACTCACATAGGCTGTACAGACCTGATGGTTCATTGCTGAGGCCCAGTTAGGTTGGGACATCTGGTGTCTGGGGGGCTACAAGTGCTCAGTATTGTCTTGATTTTTTATTTTTTTATTTTTTGCTTTTTGGGTCACATGTGGTGATGCACAGGGGTTACTCCTGGCACTGCACTCAGGAATTACTCCTGGCATTGCTCGGGGGATTATATGGGATGCTGGGAATTGAACCCGGGTCAGCCATGTGCAAGGCAAATGCCCCACCCGCTGTGTTATCGCTCCAGCCCCTGTCTTGGGACTCTTGTGAGAAAACTAGACTGTCACTCCTATCTGACATTATGTGTTTGATGTTTGTGTTCACTTTTAGAAAGTACAACTCAGAAATTCAGTATTTGATGTTATGGACAAAGAAAAGATAGAGCAGTTTCGCCTCCTGGATCTTCAGAATATTTCAGAAGGTTATCTGTTGGAAACTAAGGATGTTTGGACAGAAATCCAGACCACCGAGCCTGATATCCATGCTGCCAAACCTGCAGCACTGGCTGCTGAGACAGAAACTGAGGAAATTATGTTAGAAAACCAGAGCATTGAGCTAGCAGACAGGAGAGCTGGGCTGGAAGGCAGGATTTTCCTGTCTCCAAAGCAGCATGTTCTGTCTAAAGATCTGGGTGTTTTACCCAAAGGCCATGGGAATGAGGACCAGGACTTTCTACTTAGAGAGGGCTTTTTATCCAAAGACCAGCATCTTACACACAAATTTGAGGACCAGGATTTTCTGCCTAAAGTTCAGGCTTTCTTACCCAAAGGCCAACATATTCCTCAGAAATCTGAGCACCAGGCCCTTCTACCTACAGATCAGGATTTTCTACTCAGTGGCCAGAGTCTTCCTCAGAAATCTGAGCACCAGGATCTTCTACCTAAAGATCAGGGTGTTCTACTCAGTAGCCAGACTCTTCCTCATGAGTATGAGGACCAGGCTCTTCTACCTAAAGATAAGGATTTTCTACTCAGTGGCCAGAATCTTCCTCATGAGTATGAGGACCAGGATTCTCCACTTAAAGACCAAAATTTTCGATTTGACAACCTTCATTTTTCTCACAAGAGTGAGAAACAGGATTTTCCACCCAAATACCAGGATATTCTACCCAAAGGCCAGAGGATTTCTAAAAATAATGAGGGTCAGGATTTTCTACCCAAAGGCCACAGTATTCCTCATAAATATGAGGACTCGGATTTACCACCCAAAGGCCAGAATGTTCCTTACAAATATGAGGACCAGAATTTTCTACCCAAAGGCCAGAATGTTCCTCACAAATATGAGGACCAGGATTTCAAAGACCAGGATTTTCTACCTAAAGGCCAGAATATTTCTCATAAGTATGAGGACCAGGATTTTCTACCCAAAGGCCAGAGTGCTCCCCATACATGTAAGGACCAGGATTTTCTATTCAGTGGTCAGAGTATTTCTCAGAAGTATAAGAACCAGGATTTTTCACCCAAAGACCAGGATTTTCTTCCCAAAGGCCAGAGAATTTCTAGCAAATATAAGGACCAGCATTTTCTACCAAAAGGCCAGAAGGTTCCTCACACATATGAGGACCAGGATTTTCTACCCAGTGGCCAGAGTATTTCTCACAAGTATAAGGACCGGGATTTTCCACCCAAAGACCAAGATTTTCTACACAAAGGCCAGAATGTTCCTCACAAATATGAGAACCAGGATTTTCTACCTAGTGGCCAGAGTATTTCTCACAAGTATAAGGACCAGGATTTTCTTCCCAAAGGCCAGAGGATTTCTCACAAATATATGGACCAGGATTTTCTACTCAAAGGCCAGCATGATCGTCACAAATATGAGGACCAGGATTTTTCACTTAAAGACAAGGGTTTTGTGCCCAAAGGCCAGAATATTCCACACAAATATAAAGACCAGGATTTTCTATGTAAAAACCAAGATTTTCTATTTGAAGACCCATGTTTTCCTCACAAACGTGAGAGACAGGATTTCCAACCTACAGACCAGGATTCTTTGCCCAAAGGGCAAAGATATGTGGACATGGGTTTTCTACCCAAAGATCAGCATATTCTTTCCTTAGATCAGAATATGCTAAGCAAGTATCAGGACCAGGGGTTTCTATCCAAGAATCAGAATATTATGCTCAACTTTCTGGATCAAGGTTCTCTACTTGAAGACCAGGAGATTCTATGCAAACAGGACCAGGATTTTCTCCACAGTGAGCAGAATAGTCCTTCCAAGTATCAGAACCAGGATTTTGTATCTAAAGAGCAGAATACTTTATCCACCTATCAGGAGCAGGATGTTTTACCCAAGAGCCACCAGGACTTTTTACCTATATATCAGGTAAAATAAAATTAAAAGACATAGTAAGAATTAAGCTACTTAAGATTTGGAGTAGGATTTGAAGGACTATGTATTATAGTTGATTTGGAGTATCCATAGTTGGCAAATCATTTTAAAGCCTCAGTAATATATTTTCCCTGTCTGAATAACTCACTTTTTTATTTTAATTATCTTCTTTAGGAAAAGTATTTTAAGCAGCCATCATCTGCCTTGGCTTCTGGAAGATGGTTAAAAGAGTGGCCACCAATCGTCCAGCAGCACCTTCCACCCAGGCTTCAAGGCCAGCCCAGTGCCAGAGATCAGTTAGACCAAAAGGAAGAAGAAAAGGATCAGCAGGAAGTAAATTACTTAGATTCGTACCTGGGCTTTTCTTATGTTGTTAATTTTTCTTCATAAGATGTCCAGTTATATTCTGACTTCTCTTACCTTCAAAACTCTGGCTACAGCCTAGAGTAATGTCTAACCTTTTTAATTGAACAGTTAATGTTTTGTGCTTGCTCTTTTTCAGACAGCATGTGTAAGGCAGCCAGCGCCAATCTTGATAGGTAGGCGAGGAAGAGAGGCTCTTCCTTTGGATGCCCATCAGGATTTCCCACATGGTCATGGAGATGAGGCTTTCACCAGGGACAAGGTAGGCCAGAAAGAGGAGAGAGAAGTGCAGGAACAGAAATGTTTATGATTTGACTTGGAACTTATAAGTACTTCCTTACCTAGACTTCAGAGCTGCTGAAGTATGGTTTTTACTAAAGTATTATTCCATAATATCACACTGTATTCTGTGTTTGAAAATAGCATAAGGCTCTCAATAAAGCCTAAAATACTGCTGTCATCTTAGTCCTGCTGGACAATTTATAGTTCTTGTTTTTCTCTTGTAGAAAGTACGCTTCAAGGAACCACAGAGAGGCTTTTCCCCATCTAATTATCAGTATCTCTCTCCTCAGCACCAGAACCTTGCCTTCTTCAGAGATCAGGTAGGACAAAATAAATAGCAAATGAAATAACTGGATTTTGTACATTCTTAGTAACTGGTAATGTGAAATACAGAATCAGGTGCAGAACACTTCAACCTAGTTGGCTCTATCAGTTAAGTCATTTCTGTCATTCTGATGGCAGATAAATCACTTTCATATTCTTACTGTGTAACCAAACTCTTCAAATTTTCTAAGATTATGCCACACCTGTGTGGGAGCACACAGTCATACCATCAGCACACTGTCGCCGGATGAACAATGGAGAAGAGATTTGTCGACTATTCTTTTACACAGGGTTTGGGAATAAATATCACGGTCTGCAAAGCTGAGCTAAATGTGTAACGGTTCGATTCAAATCAGAATGTATCCGAACAAGGATCCCCACCTGGCTCATTTTCCTGGGAGTTCTCACTGAAGTCAGCAGTATTCTGATTTGCATGTAGTCTGGTTAGACCATTGGTTTTCTGTTTTTTGTTGCTTCTTTATAACACAGTTCTCAAACAACTATTACCTCTTATGAGAGATAAGAGAAGAGGACTTGCTGCTGGAAGTCATCAGTATGTTAGATCTGAAATCCAGAGAGTAAACCTCTAGAAAATGGGCAGAGCAAACATAGCAGGATTATGTTTTCAAGTAGTAACAGGAATTTGATTGCGGAGTACTTGGCCTGGCACTGGTCCAACTGGATGTGTGTGGGTAACGCAGAATCAGAGTTAAGTTATTTTAAAATATGCTGAATCTAAAGAAGTCTATCTCTCATTTGGTTTAAACAAGAGACATAATAATATATATAATATTGATGAATTCATAGTGAATTCTTAGATGCAAAGCCTTGAACTTAGTAAATTTTATAATTATGAAAGTGATTCTATTCTTTGTCAGCTGAAGTAGACCAAAACCAGGCAGGCAGGCAGCTTGCACACCATTTCTGATGGGAACAAAAAAAGCTGTTTGTGGGATCAGCACCTTTCTCACGTCACCACTCCACATCTGTTTCTGGGTTCGCAGGGATGGTCAAGCAGGAAAAACTATGGAATTGGTGCAAACTGGTTTTACCTTGGGACAATACTACCAAAAGTATGAAAATATTCCTCTGATGTTGCCTTACTATCCTCCAAGTGTGTGACTAATGCGGGAGGCTTCAATTTGGCCCCTGGTACCTCATGTTCCTTGAGCACTAATTACCAGGAGCGATCCCAGCATCAGGCATTATTCCATACAAACAAAAACACAAAAATATATTGCATGGCTAAATAAATTGCATAGAACCAAAACAAAAATTCTAAATAATATGATTTTTAAAGTATTCTTAATTTATGGGTTTTTGTTTTGTTTTGTTTTTGTTTTGGGGGGGTCACACCTAGCGGTGCTCAGGGGTTACTCCTGGCTTTGCACTCAGGAATTACTCCTGGTGGTGCTCAGAGGACCATATGGAATGCTGGGATTTGAACCCGGGTCGGCCGTGTGCAAGGCAAACGCCCTACCTGCTGTGCTATCACTCTAGCCGCAGTATTCTCAAATTATGAAGCCACACGATATGTATCTTAATATTACTTACAATGCTTTTTCTACTTTGAGATTTGGAAATTTTATACTGGATGCATACACACATAGCCCTCTCTATACTATGTGATTTTCCCTTTGTATCATTTGGAGATTGTTGCTTCAAGTTTCCAATTCTGTCAGGAACCCATCATCTCTGCTTTAACCGTTGGTTTTTTTGTTGTTTCTTTAGGACACACATATCAAGAAACCTTCAAGTACTGAGAGATGGGCTGTTGAAAGAGGGCCATCTGGAAGGCTAGGAGCACGTTTGGGCCAATATTCAAGAACTTGGCACACACTAATAGTAGGTAGAGACATTTATAGTAAGGAGTAAGGGCCAGAGAAATGACTCAGTTGCCTGGCTTTGCACATCAGGAACACAGGGCTGCATGGGGATAGCTTCTGAGATAATAGTAGAGACACAACATCCTCTTGTTCTGTGGTAGAACAGACACTGGGATCTAGTCTATGCTTCAAGCCTCACCCATGGAGGGTTTCTGTTGCCCTAGTGTGCTGCTTCTCTGCTGGGACCATTGATGTTCTGTGTATACATTGCCGTTAGCACCTGTACCACGATATGACAGTGAGAGATAGAAAAAAGAGTTATTTCTAGATTACTGAAAATGTGCTTAACATAAAATCCTGGATCTAGTCAGTGACAGTGTAAGACAGCGGGAGAATATGTATAAGAAGAAGTAAATCAGGCCGGAGCAATAGTATAGCGGGTAGGTAGGGTGTTTGCCATGCACACGGCCGACCCGGGTTCGATCCCCTCTATCCCCAAGCACCACCAGAAGTAATTCCTGAGTGCAGAGCCAGGAGTAACCCCAGAGTATCGCTGGGTGTGACCCAAAAATAGAAAAAAAATAAACCCCAAGAAGAAGTAAATCACCCCTGAGAGTGAGCAAAGCTTCTGAGGGCTGATATCTTTGACTGACACTGTCCATAACGTCAGATTATATTGTTAAATATGTAACCATTGTCCAAATGATCTTAGAACTTTTTATTCATTCTCTCATTTAATTCTTGGCTTCATACTATATATAAAACAAGATAGTGCTATTCATGTTTCATCAATGAAAGAACATGCTTTTCTAAGTATAGTTATGGTCTATGATTGTGACAAGAAGTAAAATGACTACTTTTATGCCACAGTGTGTCAGTTATTTTGCCCTGTTTATTAATTTTATTTATTTTTGGGGGGCCACACCTGGCAATGCTTAGGTATTACTCCTGACTCTGCACTCAGCAATTATACCTGGAGGTGCTTGGGAGACTGTATGGGATGCCAGGGATTGAACCTGGGTCAGCTGCATGCAAAGCAAGCACCCTACTCGCTATACAAGGCCCTTATTTTTCATTATATAAAGTGAAGCAAAGTCATTTTTATTGAACAAAACTTGCTCAGAAATATTTGAGAGGAGAGAAATAAGGATATATGTGTTCAAGAGAGAACACAGGCTCCTCCAGAATGGAAATAGGCAAACGGTATCAGAAAAACAAGTGAGGTATGTATTCACAAGAGACCACGGGCATGAAGAGCAAGCCCATCTGCCCTGTTAAATGATCCCAGAGCTATCACTGTAGCCAGTATCTTTTTTAATTTTTTATTTTATTGAATCACCGTGAGATAGAGCATTACAAAGCTATTCATGACTGGGTTTCAGTCATACAGTGTTCCAGCACCCATCCATCCACCAGTGTAATTTCCCAGCACCACTGGCCCCACTTTCTCTCCCACCTCTCCAAGCCACCCCCACCCCCACCTGTCTCTGTGGCAGGCATCTCTCTTTTCTCTCTCTTTCTTTCTCTTTCTCTTATTTTAAGTAGCCAGCATCTTTAAACTACCACTCACACAATTGGGTAAATGTTTTTTTGTGTGTGTCTCCTCTTCTCCCTCCTCCTCTTCTCCCCTCCCTGTTCTTGGCTACTCCTGGCCAAGTACTCAGAGAACCATACATGATACCCAGATTGAACCTGGGTTGGCTGCATGCAAAGCCAGTTTCTTACCACTGTACTCTCTCTCCGGCCCCTGCTTTTGTATCTTATAGAACTTACAACCCACAAAGCAACCATCTGTTGGGACAGCTGAAAGATGGAAAGAGGGCTTGCTTCCAGATGGCTCTGAGCATCTTCCACCAAAGATACAGAAAGGAACTTCCCGAAGAACACAGGTAGAGCATGCATACAATCCAAGTAGTAGTATTTGGCAAAGAAAAAGCAGATTCTTACATTGTAGTATTTTCAGTCAATCCCAACCCAGTATTACTCTAGGGCTCTCATTAAAATCTAGAATGTCATAGGGGACTCTTGTTGCTTATTGGGAAAACTCTGGTTTTTTTTTCTGTGTTTTTTTTTTAAAAAGGTATATTTCTGTTGGTCTTTGTCTCTTGAAAGAAGAAACCAGTAGTTTTTGAGCGTGAGGGAGCATAGGTTTTGGGCCCCATGTCCAATCTGAATATAAATCTCTGTGGAGATTCAGAGACATTTCCATGAATAAGTTGGTTGAGTTTAAGAAATAGAATCACCAAGAAATAGAGTTTGTGCTCCAGCTTATTGTTATATTGCCTTAATTTGGGTAAGCTCAATTAGTATCTAGGGTTTTTTTTTTTTTTTTTTTTTTTTGCTTTTTGGGTCACACCCGGTGATTCTCAGGGGTTACTCCTGGCTTTGCACTCAGGAATTACTCCTGGTGGTGCTCGGGGGACCATATGAGATGCTGGAAATCAAATCTGGCTTGGCTGCGTGCAAGGCAAACACCCTACCCACTGTACTATCGTTCCAGCCCCCTCTGTAGGGGTTTCTAAGAAGATAAAATACCCTCTCCTACCAAGATTTCTCCCTGGCTTAACTGGGGTCTGGTTTATTCCAGGAGCATTTTACCTGTTGGGCTGATTTCTAGATTTATGGCTGGGAAGGAGGACCAAAGACTTGGGGTGCATGCTTCACCTGTGGGAACCCTGATCCCTGGCACTGGCCCCACGGGCACTGTTGGGAGCGACCTCTGAATATCATGATATTGCCCACCCCTGCACCCAAAACACAACCTCAGGCGAGCATTTGGTGGGCATTTGAAAGAGAAAAATCTCTATGATTATAATTAGAGCAAAACAAATACCAGAAAGAGGAGGAGGCCTGAAGGCAGGAAGCAGGATTTGGGCTGAGGTTTATTAGGCACTAACTTGTAGCTTTGCCGTGATGCTTGTTTGGGAGTGTAAGGTTGTGGTATTGTCATGTTTCACTCTTGTTGTTTCTGTGTGTCCTGAGCTGTTGAGGCTCCTTCCAGCCTTCAATCTCTTTGAGGTGTGTTTTTGACACTTGGATATATCCCTCTTTTCTTTACAGAATGAAAGCCTTCTTGTTCCCTACCTTTCGCCTACATCATTCTGTCAACTTAGAAAAAGTGCCTTCGACCACCTTATCAAGCAGAGGTCTCTCCTCTTCTCTTTCTTCCCCACCTTGTTCATTTCCTTCTCACTACACAGTCTTGGAATGATTTCTTTGTTTTCTGGGAATCTGTAACCCTCGTGGAGGGAGAACTACACACCTATTTTGGTTCCCAGGGCGTAAACAGCACAGGGCCTCATACCTGGGAGTCTCTTGCTAAATATCTTTTGAATGAATGAATCACTCAGAGCATTTGCCGAGACCCCTATTAGATACTAGCTCTTAGTTATGTCTTAAATATCACAGATGCAGCTTGAACAACACACAGAACTCCAATTTGATAGGAAACTGACACATAGCAGATTGTTACAAAGCAATGCAAGTCACTGGTAAGGATGCACAGGACGCTGACCGAGCATAGAGGATGGGCACCTGCCCTCACTGTAGTCTGTACAGCCTCGCTGGACTGAGCTGCTTATCATCTCCTGACGTGTCAGCACTGAGAATCTTCAGTCAGTTCTTCCTCTTATAAAAGAAATGACCTCCAAATCATCCAGCCTGTGAGGAAAACACATTCCAAGTACAGATTTAGGCCATGTTCTTTTTCCCTGGCTCCAGTTGACCATAGCTGCCGCTTAGTAGCAGCATCATTTTTCTGAGTCTTGTCAGTTTCCTCTGCCATGGCCTCCCTGCTCATTCTAACCCACCCACACTCTGTAACCCCCTGCCGAGGTCCCATTTTTTTCTTGGACTCTGTCATGAAAAGGGAAGCTTTCCTGCAGTCACGAGCTCAGCCACGGACTGTGCTGCCATTTTTTTTTATTATTATTAGTAAAACACCATGAGGTACAGTTGTAGATTTACAATTTTCTGTGCTTGGGTTTCGATTATACAATGATCAAATACCCATCCCTCCACCAGTGCCCATTTTCCACCACCATGGATAATATCCCTCCCACCCCCATTCCCCCATCCCACCCTGCCTCTGTGGCAGGGCAATCCCTTGTGTTCTCTCTCTCCTTTTGGGTGTTGTGGTCTGCAAAAGAGGCATTGAGTGGCAAACATGTTCAGTCCATAGTCTACTTTCGACATGCATCTCCCCTCCTGGGAGGATCCTCCAAACAGCCTTTATTTGGTGCTCCCTTCTCTATCTGAGCTGCCCTTTCCCCTAGAATGCCCGGCTGGCCTCTAAGCTATGGAGTAATCCTCCTGGTGCTGATCTCAGCTATTCTTGGGTATTAATCTCATATTTTGTTACTTTATATCCCCCAGATGAATGCAATCTTTCTATGTCTATCCCTCTCTTTCTGACTCATTTCACTTAGCATGATACTTTCCATGTTGTACCACTTGTATGTAAATTTCACGACTTCATCTTTTCTAACAGCTACATAGTACTCCATTGTGTACATGTACCAAAGTTTCTTTAACCGGTCATCTCTTCTTGGGCATTCAGGTTTCTTCCAGTTTCTGGCTATTGTAAAGAGTGCTGCAATGAACAAACAAGTGCAGATGTCACTTCGACTATACATTTTTGCCTCTCTGGGATATATTCCCAGGAGTGGTATTGCTGGGTCAAATGGGAGCTCAATTTCTAATTTTTTGAGAATCGTCCATACTGTTTTCCAGAAGGGCTGAACCAGTCGATATTCCCACCAACAGTGAAGGAGGGTCCCTTTCTCGCCACATCCGCGCCAGCATCGGTTGCTTTTGTTCTTTTGAATATGGGCCAGTCTCTGAGGTGTGAGATGGTATGTCATTGTGGTTTTGATCTGCATCTCCCTGATGATTAATGATGTAGAGCATTTTCTCATGTGCTTTTTTGCCATTCGGATTTCTTCTTTGAGAAAGTTTCTGTTCATTTCATTGCCCCATTTTGTGATGGGGTTGGATGTTTTCTTCTTGTGGAAGTGCTGCCATTCTTATATGCTCCTTCTCTCGGGGAAACTTCTCTCTCTGCACCCATGTTGTGTTTTTTCCTTGTCACCTTCTCTTCTGTTCCCATTTCGGGTGCTGTGTTATGAGACTGGTTCCTGAGAAAGGTCGCCTTTGTTCTAGGAGGTCGCCGCCTAGTTCACTTGAGTCTTAGATTCCATCTCCCCTTTGCGGTAGTGGCCTTGGTGGCAGTTGAGCCCCAGATCCCTCACTCTGCTTCTTGAGCTCTGCGCTGTGCCTGCCCCTCTCATGGCTGTTTCTGGGATTTGTGCCAGTTTATCTGCAGAGTTATAGGAGCCTCTTGGGGAGTTGGCTCCTCTTAAAGATGCCCGTGCCCTTTTCTCTCCAGATCCCTGGGGCTGCATTTTTTACTTGTTGGTGAGAAAAGGGGACCCACAGTGGCTTACTCCTTTAGTAGTGTTGGAAGTCAGGATTTTATTACTGTTTCGAAAGCAATGTAGCACTGTCCTCCCATTGTTCATCAATTTGCTCGAGTGGGCACCAGTAAAGTCTCCATTGTGAAACTTCTTGCTACTGTTTTTGGCATATCGAATATATCACGGGTAGCTTGCCAGGCTTTACTGTGTGGGTGGGGTACTCTTGGTAGCTTGCCAGTCTCCGAGAGGGACAAAGGAATAGAACCTGGGTCGGCTGCGTGCAAGGCAAATGCCCTACCCGCTGTGCTATCACTCCAGCCTGTCTTGAAAGCAGAAAATATAATTTCATTTTTAGAGTAGCAAAAGTAATCAAAAAAGAAAACCCTCAAAAATTCCAGAGACATGGATCAGCCCAGCGGTTCCTGAAGCAGGTGACCCCACCCCTTGAGGAGGGTCACTGGAATGATGGTGATGGGTGGGGGAGTCAGGGAGGAACACTTGGGGGTGCTGTGCTTCCTGTTGGTTTGTCTGAAGGTAGATTTCCATTGTCGAGTTTGCTGTGTAAATTTTTTTTTCTGAAAAGGGCAGATAGATTGGGGAACCTGAGATTCAGCCTTTTTTGAGGGCTGTGGAGTTAAATCCGGTTATGCTTAGGTTCTCTGCTAAGGGATCATTCCTGGAAGGCTTAGGGGACCATATGGGATGCTGGGGAATCAAACCCAGGTCGGCCATGTGCAAAGCAAGAGCCCTATTTGCTATACGATCTCTACAGCCCCCAGGTTTAGCTTTTTGCTGTGTTACACTTTCAGATTTTTATCTAACGCAAATAAATGACCTAACAATATCCTAATAAAGGTTTGTTCTCAGTTCTCATTATTCCTGGGATTTCTGCAGGCGTGGTATTAGCTAATATCAAATTACTGCTTTTAGGGGGTGAAATTTCTATGAGACCCTTTACATAAACCATAACCATGTTTTAATGTATTTCTGTTAAAGGAGGTCTTATATTTCAAGTATCAATATTTTAATTCATATTTGTTTATTTAATTGCAATATTAATGCATTTTTAATTTGTTGATTAACTTTTGACAATTTTGTCCCTGTAACTGAACTTTCTAATAGGTTTATGAAGATGGTCAGTCAGGACTGAACTCAGAATTTCAAACTTCTCTGGCATTTCAGTCTGGAGTAGATCAAGAAGACAAGAAAGAGGTGTGTAATGATAATGCTTTGGATATCACTTATCCTATAGTAGCAGGAAGGGAAATTTGAAACCTGTTATATTCTAGCACATTAAGAACTGGTACCACAGATTTTATAGATAGAGGCAATGAATTTGCTTGAGTTATTATAATATGTTGAGTATCTTTTCTAAGTGTCTAGGATTTAATTTTTTGTTTTTGTTTTTGTGTTTTTTTAATGTGAAATCAAAGATCTGATATTAGTAATTTTCTCTAGAGAGTGTATATTTTCCCATAACATAGTTTAAAAAAGAGTTTTAATTTATGCCTTTTGTTTGTTTGTTTTGGTGCTCAGGGCTTACTCCTTGCTCTGCGCTCAGGGACCACACCTGGCGGGGCTTGGGGAACCATGTGGGGTGCCGGCTATCAAACCTGGGTCAGCCGTGTACAAGGCAAGTGCCTTACCCTCTGTATTATCTCTCTGGCCCTTCATTTGTGGCTTAAAAAAGAACTATAAAATCTGAATTTAGTTTAAATTAATAGTTTTCAGTTTGGACCATGGAACAGAATCAGAGGTGGAAATGTTTTCAAAATGCGGATGTCTGGATACAAATGAAATACACTGAGTTAGCATTTGAAAAAGGTCGATTTGGAGCTTCAGTTTTTTAAAATATACAGCCATTTGTGACATGATGAATAATTTTTATCAAAAAGGCAAAAGTTAGTCAGTGGCAAAGTCGTGTCTGCCAGTGCCAGTGGTATGACTCCAGAGAGGAAGCAGGTCAAACACACGGGGAGAGCACCACTGGGTTTTGTTTCTGCCCTTTTAAAAGTAGGAGGCCCCACATTTCTCCACCAGATTAGGCTAGTGTAGTGTGGTTTTAGTTTGAAATAAAGTGGCTGTTGGTCTGTTTTAAAATACCTCTCACATTCTCTGTTTCTCAACCTCTTTGGCACTGACTACTTGAGAATACAGGGAAAATATACATAAGTAAGTATATGTTTATGATACCAAGTGTAATCATTTCCTCAAATATGTTGGCAAGGGATAATTCCAAGGGCAAACTAACAGTATTTCTTTCTCTGGTTTGTCAGCAGCATCTACTAGTTATATGCTTGGAAAGGTGAATTGTTACTGTATGTGAGATCCTGAGTCACTTAAACAGAAGGAAGGAAACTAAGGATTAATTTCCATGCAGCTTCTGTATCATATAGTTTTTTTGTCAGTGGTACAAGAATATTTTCCTTGCATGAAAAGTTCTCTGAGAGCAGAATTTTAACTATTTTAACTTCTTTCCTTTAGCGTCAAAAGCAGTTCCTGAGATTTAGACGGCTTTTTATGGATATTGAAAGGGAACAAGTAAAGGAACAACAGAGGCAAAAAGAACTTAAGAAGAAAGTTGAAAAGTAAGTTCTTTTGATCTTCACTGAGAGCCTTCATCTGTTAAGATGATTTTGGAAACTTAGAAATAATCAGGCATTGGTTTTGCTTTTTCTAACTATAGTTGAAAACAATTTATTTTTCTAATGTGGTAGGATATTACAAGTTGGTAAAGAGGTATTTTTTGGTGGGGGCAAGGCCTCCTAAGCGATACGCAGAGGGCCCTGTGTCCATTCCTGGTGATTCTAGGTCTGTGGGTTCAGTGGTACAATGTACTTGTACTTGTAAGTGAGGCCCTTCAGACCCTGCAGTGCCAGAGATTACCCAGGCCACCCCAGCAGTACCGAGGGCCTTCAGATCCATACTGGTGAGGCTTGAAGGACCATGTGGTGCCATGAATTGAACCAGGGTTATCTGCATACCAGCCAAGCACCTTAACCCCTGCACTAGCTTTCTCACCCCAAGTGATTTTTATTAATTATACAGGGTTATTTTTGACAAATAGGCAAATTTAACAGTTATAGATTTACAGTAAAGCAGAAACCTGTGGAAAATTCCCATTTTTCTCCCTCCCGTACACATGAACTATCTCTGCCACTATCATCCTGTGCCACAGTGATGCGACATTGTTATAACTGATAACCCATGTTGGCACATCATTATCACTGTAAGTTCATAGTTGATGTATGTCATGGGTCACTCTTTTTTTCTTTCTTTCTTTTATGGACACATCTGGTGGTGCTCAGTGAATACTCCTGACTCTGCTCAGGGATTACATGTAGTGGGGCTCTGGGGACCCTGTGGGGTGCAGTGGATGGAACCCAGGTCAGCTGTGTGAAAGAGCAGAGTCCTACCTGCTGTCCTGTCATTCCAGCCCCCTAGGGTTCATTTTTGATATTGTTCATTTATAAGTTTGGACAAATGTATAATGACATATCCACCATTATAGTTTTCCTGGGCTGAAGTGGTAGCACTGCGGGTAGGGCGTTTGCCTTGCACGCAGCCAGCCCGGCCGAGCCAAGTTCGATTCCTCCACCCCTATTGGAGAACCTGGCAAGCTACCGAGAGTATCTCGCCCTCACAGAAGAGCCTAGCAAGCTACCCATGACGTATTCGATATGCCAAACACAGTAACAAGTCTCACAATGTTACTGGGCCCGCTCGAGCAAATCGATGAACAACAGGAGGACAGTGACAGTGACATAGTTTTCCTGCTCTGAAAATTCTTTGTTTTTTTCTGTGTACTCCATTCCTCTTCCAGCCCCATAGATCACTCATCTCTTTACTGTCTTTATTGGTTTCAAGGTTTCAGAATGTCATCCAATAACTTTCTTGTAGATTTTTCATATTAGACTACTTTACTTAGTTAAAGTTCCTATAGTGCCCTTTTAAACTTGATAACTTTTTTTTAGTATGCTAAATAGTAATTCCTTTGTTTAGATGTACCACAGTTTATCCATTCACGTTGGTGGTTTTCAAGCTTGGCGGTTATGAATAAAATTGCTATAAACAGCCATGTGCCGGCATTGTGAGGACATTTTCCATTTCTTTGTGCAAATATCAAGGAACACTTACTGAATCATCTAGTATGAGTGTGTTTAATTTTATAAGAATGCTAAATACATCGAAAATGGTCATACTGCTTTATATAGCACTAGCAGTGAATGGACATTTTTATTGTTCTTTATCCTCACTGGTGTTTGATGTTGTCAAGTGTTTGGGATTTTGGTAATTCTGTTAGATGTATATCTCATTGTTTTAATTGCAATTCCCTAATTACATATGATGTGCAGTTCCCTAATTTCATATGCTTATTTACCATCTGTACATCGTCTTTGGTGAGATGTCTATTCAGATATTTGCAACTTTCTAAGTCGGTAATAGAATTAAGTAGATAAATACTTGTGAAATGCTTAGCTGGCATTTAGGAAAATCATAGTAAATCTTGCCAATTACTACCATGATTATAGTGATGGTGATGATAGTGATGGTTATTAATAGAGTGAACGCCAAGAGTTCAGGGAAAATAAGAAAGAGGAAGTAACAATATTTATAATGTTACCCACCCTCCCTGCTGAATATGAGTCCTCAGTTTGCTGTCTTTGGGCATTTGTTTTTCCCCATTCTGTTTCTTCATATCCCACATTGGGGAGAGATCATTCTGTGAATTGTTTAGTGCTTCATACAGTTAAAAACAACCTATAAGAGAATGGGCACTGGTAGAGGGATGGGTACTCCATCATTGTATAACTGAAACCCAAGCACAAAAATTTATAAGTCTACAACTGTACCTCATGGCGTTTCACTAATAAAAATTTAAAAACAAACAAAACAAAATCTATAAGGAAACCTGAAGGGGCTGGAGTGACAGTATAGCGGGTAGGGCATTTGTCTTGCACGCAGCCAACCTGGGTTCAATCCCCAGCATCCCATATGTTTCCCTAAGCACTGCCAGGAGTAATTCCTGAGTGCAGAGCCAGGAGTGACCCCTGTGCATCACCGGGTGTGACCCAAAAAAGCAAAATAAATAAAACCTGAAGAAAAGTGAAAATACATTCATAAAAACACTGAATAGTGATAATATATTCTTTTCAAGTACTCATTGCACATATACTAAAAGTGATTATATTCTGGGATATTTTCAGAGTAAATTCTCTGACTGTGGTAATGTTAAGTTAGAGATCTATATATGCAATGCATTTCTAAAGAATGTTGGGGAGCAGGATAGTACAGAGGGAAGGCATTTTTCCCTTTCATGGGGCCGATCCCAATTCAATCCCTGGCACCCCATGTGGTACCCATACCCCACCAACAGTGATCCCTGAATATAAAGCCAGGGGTAATCTCTGAACAGTGCTGGTGTGTCCCCCAAACGAAACATAAACAAAAATTTTAGGCCCAAGGTAACATTACAGTGGAAATTAGATAACATTTAGAGGATAATATTAAGATAAAAACATGTTAAAACTTATCAGATACAACTAAAACAATGTTTAGTGGGAAAGCTAGACCCTTAGTTATAATTATTAAAAAGTTAAAAGGCTAATAGTCAGTGTTTCAATTTTCCATTTTAGAAGATAGGAAAACAGTCCACAGAACAAACCAAACCAAACATCTTGTAAGGAACAGAAATGGTGAAACAGAGAACAAGTGGAGAAATTCAACCGAGCTAAAAAATTGGTTCTTAAAAATTTTGGTTTTTCCAGGGTCATACCACTTTTTACTAACTAAAAAAAAAAAGAGAAAAAATAAATGTACTAAGACTCGAAATGACAAGGAGTCAATATGACAAGGAGTCAGAGCTTACAGACATTGAGTGATAAGAGGCTTCAAGCCCATGTTCTCCCTTGGATACATATCTTGTAGGCTTGTCTCCATATTTCTTTGCTTGCTTGCTTCCACTCTGGAGAAACCCATATTCTCATATTCTCTCTTTCACTCTTCCCATCTCATTCTGAGTGAGTTCCATTAAATAAAAAACTACCCCCACTCAAAAAAAATGAATCAATCAGTCAATGAAAAGAGGATTTGTGGCAGGCAGAGAGAATGTGCCGGGGTTAAGGCACAATGTGCTGGCCTTGCACCAGACTAACCCTGATTTGGCTCCCGGTGCTGCAGATGGTTCCCTGAGCACTGCAGAAATGAACCCTGGTGGAAGCCCTGAGCACAGCTACATATACTCACCTCCAAAATAACAGCAACAATAGAAAGGATTTGTGACAGAATTTTTGTGAAATAGATTAACTCTTTAAATAAAGAAAGAAATGGATTCTAGAAGGAGTAGAGGCCTGGGGCAGTAGCATATTCGATATACCAAAAACAGTATCAAGTCTCCCAATGGAGACCTGTGCCTGCTTGAGCAAATTGATGAACAGCGGGATGATAGTGCTACAGTGCAGTGCTACAGTTTATCACTTATGGAGTTATGCTTTATGTAATGCTTCATAAAGCTCTCCAGAAAGTATCCTCTAGCATGGGAAATAGGGACGACTTCCCCATCCAAGATGCAAAGTCTGAGGGGCTGGAGCCATAGCACAGCAGGTAGGGCGTTTGCCTTGCATGCAGCCAACATGGCCGACCCGGCCGACCCGGGTTTGATTCCCAGCATCCCATATGGACCCCCGAGCATCGCCAGGAGTAATTTCTGAGTGCATGAGCATCGCAGGGTGTGACCCAAAAAGAAAAAAAAAAGATGCATAGTCTGAGACTGGCCAGTCCAGAGGCTGGTGACAGATTCATTTCTCTCATTAAGGGAAATGTAAAAATCCCAAGTGTGGAATGCCCCAGAGGCCTTTGAAAGGAATATGGCTGTGGGCCTATTCCTGGAGCCTCTGTCTGGGCCTGTACTCCAGCCCAAGGATAGCTTTTTAAAATACTTCTGGACTTCTCCCAACTCTTTGACTCAATGGGAGTAAAACTTTCTCATAACAGTGTTGATGCTGGGGAAAGGATAACAAAAAAAGAAAAAAAAGTTGTCTTTCCCCTTTTCTATTTGAACTGTACAATAAACTCTAACCTCTTAGAAAGAAAAGAAATTGTCTTTGGATAGTATAAATAATTTTATGTTTTGTTTTTGAGCTATACCCAGTGGTACTTGGGGGTTACTCCTGGCTCTGTACTCAGGGATCTTTCCTGCTGGTGCTCAGAACACCATATGGGGTGCCGGAGATAGAAGCCAGTTTGCCCCCTGCAAGACAAGCACCTTGCTCACTGAACCATCACTCTAGCCTCAGTAGAATCAGAAATATTTTTTCTATTATTTCTGCATTTAAAAAAATGTACTCAGTATGTTTTTATATTTGCCTTTGGGGACAGTATCTCCACCATATGAGCCTCTTGCTACCCAAATATCCTGTTTATTTTGCTGTGACTTCTGAGCTTTTCATGTTGTATCGAATTGGTGAGAATGGTTTTCCTGAAAGGTACTTTATAGAACCTTTGGTTCCTTTGTGTATATTTTTACTCTCACATGCTATTTCTCTCCCACGAGATAGGTTATATTACTGTTTACCTAAAAGCAAGTTGA